TCCCCCCACCTAAGCTTCTCGAGTAGGTAGGACTACAAGTGCATGCCACCACGCCCAGCTAATTTTTTTAAAGTTTTTTGTAGAGATAGAGTCTCACTGTGTTTCCCAAGCTGGTCTTAAGCTTCTAGCCTCAAGCAATTCTTCCACCTTGGATTCCCAAAGCGCTGGGATAACAGGCATGAACCACTGTGCCCAGTCTTAGTACTTAAGTTTTACACATTTAAATATACTTATGTCTCTAACTTGATCTTTCATCTTTCAAAGATTTTGTTTACTTTTACGTACCTTCCTCATCTTGTCCTTTCTCTTTTAAACTCCTTTAATAGCTCATAACATACACATTCCATTCTGTAACTGTAGTTCCCACAGTTGTTTTAAATGTATTCCTAGAACTGAATGAATATATTGCTTACTGCTAATACCTTTGGTATAGTTTCTCCGTTCATCTCATAGTTACTTATAGTTCATCCTTTAATAGTTTCCTCAAGAAGGATAAGTGAGAATTATTCCCTGAGTTATTGCATTTCTAAAATGTCTGTCTTTTGTATTTATTGAACAACAGCTTAGCTGGGTATAAAATTCCTGGTTTTCAACTTTCATTTCCTAAAGTTTTTGTAGGTCTTGCTCCTCTGACTTATAATGTTGAATGTTGATATGAGAATGTTTGAAGTCAGCAGATTCTTTTTTTTTTTTTTTTTGAGACAGGGTTTTGCTTTGTCGCCCAGGCTGGAGTGCAGTGGTGTGATCTTGGCTCACTGCAACCTCCGCCTCCTGGGTTCAAGCAATTCTCCTGCCTCAGCCTCCCGAGTAGCTGGGAGTACAAGTGCGCACTGCCACATCCAGCTAATTTTTGTATTTTTAGTAGAGATGGGGTTTTGCCATGTTGGCCAGACTGCTCTCGAACTCCTGACCTCAAGTGATCTGCCTGCCTTGGCTTCCCAAAGTGTTGAGATTACAGGCATGAGCCATTGCACCCGGCCAGATTCTTTTCATCCTTATAGATGAATTGATCTCTTTGATTAGATGCCAAAAGGATTTTTTAATTTTCCGAGTTTAACTTTGCTACAGTATATACATATGATTGAATTCTTACAATTTGTAGATTTAAACCCTTTATTTTTGGAAAACTTATTTTTAAAAAAATTCTTATCCCCAAGTATTCTGAGTCATATAGTTTTCTTAAATTACACTCTAATTTTGGGGGGTTTCATATTTTTGTTCAGTTAAGTAGCAACATGGTCTTCTTTTTTTATTTTTTGAGACAGAGTCTTGCTTTGTCACCAGGCTGGAGTGCAGTGGCATGATCTTGGCTCACTGCAACCTCTGCCTCCTGGGTTCAAGTGATTCTCCTGCCTCAGCCTCCCGAGTAGCTGGGACTACGGGCATGCGCCACCACGCCCAGCCAATTTTTGTATTTTTAGTAGGCATGGGGTTTCACCGTGTTGGCCAGGATGGTCTCGATCTCTTGACCTCAGGTGATCTGCCCACCTTGGCCTCCCAAAGTGCTGGGACAACAGGTGTGAGCCACCATGCCTGGCCAACAACGATCTTTATGTTAGATCTCTTTTGTTTGTCCTATACATTTATTCTGTACTAGTTCTTCTAAACTCTTGTTGATTTCTATTTCATTTTGCCCATTTTCTGGATCCTGTCCTCTTGGGTCTCTTACTGGGTTGTTAGTGATGTCTATTCTGCTTCTGGCTGTTTCTAGCTTTTCTGACTTTTAGTTGGCTCAAAGCCTTTAGATTCCAGCTGGAATCCCATAAGCAAGTAGCTAAGACTGTAAAAAGAAATCTTTGAAAGAAGCAGATGCTTTTCACCATCTGCTAAGTCAGCTTTTTGGCATTGTATCTTCTTCATTGTATTCCAGATAATCAAACTTTCAGTTTGAGTTTTGCCTTTTTTCTCTCCTGTTCAGTCATCTAAATTCCTTGAAGTAGTTCTTTGAGTGTATATTTTGATAGATGTTTTTAATTTGTGGATTTAAAAATAAATATTTTGGGGATTGGTTGGTTCTGTTATATGGAAGAAGGATTATGGAATTGTCTTTTTGCTTCCAGAGCAGACTGAGTATTCTTTTCCCCAAGGAATAATTAGGAATAAATCCTGTGTAAATGGTTTATCAGGCTTTGTAGTATTTTATTAAATGCAAATATTATGTGACGGTTGAAGGGAAATATGCAAAGCTGAGGAAAATACAAATTTGAGGGTGTTTTGATGTGTCTTAACATTTTTTAAATTGTATGTAGATATGGTAGATGCTTTTTCTTTGATCAGTATGCCTCTTCGGCTGTGGATGTGTTTCCTTTCAAGCCTTATATCTGTGATGGAATAGATTTTGCTACTGTACTGATGGTATGCCAGCGGTCAAAGATTTGAGGACCACTTCTGACTGTGTTCCAATCATCCACTTGATCCACTTGGCTAATGGGAAATGGCAAGGAATTGTAGGCATCACTTTAGACATTTTAGAATGACGTGGTTCAAAGAAATTGTGACCACAGGGTGTAAGAACTTGGGTAGTGACTGTGCACACATAATTTCTTGCCATTAAGCTGCTTTCCCCAGTCAGTGTGCATCAGGATGTTACCCCACAGTGTATTATCTGTTTGTTTGCTATACATGTGCAAGTCTCTGTTCATGACAACTGGAAAAAGGAAAGAGCCATTCTGCTGGGAGACAGCAACTAGAATCTTAGATTCTCAAGCCCATGGAGAGCTTTTCACCGCTCATTGTGTTTTGTAAGGTTTACCTTGTGTAGTTTGGTCAGAAGCAGTAGTGACAGCAGTATGTGCCATTATCGATCTCTTATTCTGTACCAAGTGCTGTGCTAAGTACCTTTATATACCTTATCTCATTGTTTATTAGAATGTAATCACGTGACTTTTAAAAATTATTATCTCCATTTTACTAATAAGAAAACTGAGAGGGCCAGGCGTGGTGGCTCACGCCTATATTCCCAGCACTTTGGGAGGCTGAGGCGGGTGGATCACAATGTCAGGAGTTCAAGACCAGCCTGGCCAAGCTAGTGAAACCTTGTGTCTACTAAAACTACAAAAACTAGCTGGGCGTGGTGGCAGGTGCCTGTAATCCCAGCTACTCGGGATGCTGAGGCAAGAGAATCGCTTGAACCTGGGAGGCAAAGGCTGCTGTGAGCCGAGATCATCCCACTGCACTCCAGCCTGGGCGGCAGAGTGAGACTCTGTCTCAAAAAGAAAAAAGAAAACTGAGACTCATAGTTAAATTGCATGATAATTAAGTGGTAGAATCAGGATTTGAATCCAGGACTCCCTGGCTCAAAAGGCCATGCCCTTAACAATTGCATTGCTGTCTATCAGTGATATTGATTAGCGTTGTACATCTTCTAATGCTAAACAAGAATAAGGCATTATAGGCAGAGTAGAAATTCTCCTTACACGTAGTTTAATGTGGGTTAACTCTATGTTTGAATAATTAGAACAGACTTTCTTGGCTGGGCACAGTGGCATGCACCTGTAGTCCCAGCTACTTGGGAGGCCGAGGCAGGAGGATCCCTTGAGTGATCCCTTGAGCTCAGGAGGTTGAGGCTGCAGTGAGCTATGATTGCACCTGTAAACAGCCCCTGCAGTCCACCAGCTTGGGCAACATAGTGAGACCCTGTCTGTATAAAAACAAAAACCAGGCTTTTGTTCCTTCCCTTCACATAATCTAGAGAATCAGCTTATGAGATGAGATGGGCTGGGAAAGTGAATATTGTTTTTCCACAGATAATTCCATATGTGGTTAAATGGATTTTGCTTGAACTTTCTCCCTTTTCCTATAGGGAAAACCTTCAGGCCTTAAATGTCAACATGGAAATCTTTATCCCAAATAAAATTGACTCCGAGAGAGGTACCATAGTGAATGATATAGAATTGTTTAAAATGGCATCTTCTGTATTTCTCACTGTTAACTAGGAAATGCACACTTTGGTCATTTGGTGATCCCAAAATTGGTTGAGTTAGTTAGCTCAGCTAACATCATATTGGATTTTCTGGATAGGGTTAATGAAGTTAAATATTTATTTACGTGGGTGTAATGGGTACTGCCCTATTAATTCCACTGTAACTTTGTAATTCATGTGCCATTACCCTAAGAGTCTTACCAAGTATTTTTGCATTCTGGAACAACAGGGACAGACTCTCCTATTGTTTGCAGTTACCTTCATAAAAATTGAAAACAAACAAAAAAATGAGTTTTTTCCCTCTTCTCAAGATAAGTTTGCCTTCTGCTTAACAAAATTGTTTCCACTCCCCCTGTGGTATGAAGACAGAGCCCCGTCAGTCCACACTTAATCGTGTTACTGGTATGCAGCCCTCTGCTCATTTCCTGGCTTGCCTTCTGCCCTGCAGTGGGTGCACTGTCACCTTGAAATGGCAGTGTGAGGCAGTAGCAGGAAGAACCCAAGCAGGCAAGCTGGGCTTCTGTTTCACTCTAGGTGTCAATAGTCTTTGATTTGTTCCTGTCCTGCCTGGGAGGTGAGATGAAGAAGTTGTTCATTTCTGCTGGTGCTTTTGCTTAAGACACCCTCAGGAGACCTTTTTCCGTAGTCTTGTGGGTTGCGTTAGTTAGCAGCCCAATCACTAAAAACAAAAGGAGCAGAGCTGCAAGAGAAGTGGCTCCTAATATTTGGAGCCAGGTAGTGAGACCTGGAGCACTGGGTTGAAGGGAAATTATTCTCATGCTATTTTGTAGAGTCTCGTCCTGAGGACAATTAAATAGTCCAGACGGGTCACTGGGTGAGACCAATTTCCTGGTTTGTTTACTTGAGCCTGATAGTTTTTCACCATCCAGCAGTAGGTCACAGTCCTGCTGCACTGTGACCCCAGAGGCCTGCAGAGAGCAGTCCTTTCATATTTGATTTCCACAGGCTTCCCCAAGGATCCTTGCATGTCTTTATTTGGTTGGATTGCTCTGTTGTGTCTCTCAGGCTCAGGGTAGAGGACAATGTCAGTAATTACTCTTGACTTCATCTTATGCAGGCATTTGGCTTTATGTCCCGAGTTGCCCTACAAGCAGAGAAGATGAATCATCACCCAGAATGGTTCAATGTATACAACAAGGTAACTAAACTGCCTTATTTGGGAATCACCTTAATTACAGAGTTTAAGAAACTTTTTCTTCCTTGTCATCTTGTGCAGCTAAATGTCATCGAGCTTAAGAAAGTCTTATCCTTTCTCTCAGAATGCCTGTGTATTATTGCAAATTAGTAACACATTTTCAGGTCTGCTCCTAAGAACAGTGAATAAGCTCTTTATTTTCATGCTTGTCTTTCTGCTGAAGCTAATACGAGAAAGTTGGGCCAAATGAGGCTCCTGAATTAAACTGGAGTATCAGCCATGCAGATATGTGTCAAAACTTAAGGTAAATTATTGAAAGAAATGGTAGCAAATCAGATAGATATGGTCTTGTTTATCTCGTTGAAATAAATTTGCTCAAGAACTGTGCTTTGAGAACTGTTAAATTTTGTATCCTGTGTAGGAACTGACCTTATTTAAGACAAAGGACAGACTAAAAAGTTTTGAGGGGGCACAGTGAGAAGAACCTTGTTCCTCCAAAAGTGTCCTTGCCTTTATGGTCATGCCATTTGGAATGTCTTATCTAGATTTCTGTGACGTCTTCTCTATGAAAATCTTTGAAGAGAGAGAATTTCACAATACTCACGTGACTTATTAGAATAATACAGAGCACCTTCGCACCAGGCGAAACTTTTCTTTGCTAGTTGCTTCTCTTAGCTCGTAATTTTGCCCTTTACTCCCACTTCCCTAATTTGGAAATGTGCCTTTTTTATTTTCTTTTTTTTTTTTTGAGGTGGAGTCTGGCTCTGTTGCCCAGGCTGGAGTGCAGTGGTGCCATCACAACTCACTGCAATCTCCACCTCCCAGGTTCAAGTGATTCTCCTGCCTCAGCCTCCCGAGTAGCTGGTATCACAGGCGTGCACCACCATGCCCGGGTAATTTTTATGTTTTTAGTAGATACGAGGTTTCACCATGTTGGCCAGGCTGATCTCAAACTCCTGAACCCAGGTGATCTGCCTGCCTCGGCCTCCCAAAGTGCTGGAATTACAGGTGTGAGCCACTGTGCCCAGCCAAAATGTGCTTTTTATTTATTTATTTATTAAATTAAATTTTATTTTTTTTTTGAGACGGAGTCTCGCTCTGTCACCCAGGCTGGAGTTCAGTGGTGTGATCTCGGCTTACTGCAAGCTCCGCCTCCCGGGTTCACGCCGTTCTCCTGCCTCAGCCTCCCGAGTAGATGGGACTACAGGCGCCTGCCACCTCGCCCAGCTAGTTTTTTTGTATTTTTTAGTAGAGACAGGGTTTCACCATGTTAGTCAGGATGGTCTCGATCTGCTGACCTCGTGATCCGCCCGTCTTGGCCTCCCAAAGTGCTGGGATTACAGGCATGAGCCACCGCGCCCAGCCTCAAAATGTGCGTTTCAAACATTGCTGCTAAGATATTACATTTGATAGCTTGGTTTTTCTCAGTGGCCTGAAAATAGTTGGTGTAATTAAAGTAATGAGAGTTCAAGTGGAACCTCAGTCTCTCTTTTTATTTAAAGAAATAAGATTTGAGATTCTGGCAGCTGCATTGCTTCTTCATGAGAGAGAACTTTTTATTTCAAGGTGGCTGTTCAGCCAGGCCTGATGTAAACTGTGCCCCTGGAGTTCACTGGGTTTTGGAAATGTTTTGCTTATTCATAATGTAGTAGTTTCTAGATCATTTAATCCCCCTAATTCTGAAATATGAATGTTGAATAATAGACTGATTTCTGAACTGCCAAAGGAAAATAACCATGATTTACTGCTCAGAGTTTTAAAAACTGCTTTTCTTTTTTTTAGGTCCAGATAACTCTCACCTCACATGACTGTGGTGAACTGACCAAAAAAGATGTGAAGCTGGCCAAGTTTATTGAGAAAGCAGCTGCTTCTGTGTGATTTCTTCCAAAACACATGTAAAATCTTGTACACATCTTAGCTGCAATGTATGTTGAAGGAAATTTATGTGAACAGAGTTGTTCTTTTTGTTTTTTTTTCCCAGAGTCTTGCTCTGTTGCCCAGGCTGGAGTGCAGTGGCCTGATATCAGCTCACTGTAACCTCCACCTCCCGGGTTCAGGCTATTCTCCTGCCTCAGCCTCTTTAGTAGCTGGGATTACAGGCATGCACCACCACGCCTGGCTAATTTTTGTATTTTTAGTATAGACGGGGTTTCACCATGTTGGTCAGGCTGGTCTC